TCATGCATCATAATATACTCCCTAAGGCCTCTAAGTACCTCTGTCTTTGTAGGGGTAACATGAAAACCTGTACTTTTTGACCAATACAATATCTAAGTACTTTCTTAGTAATTTATTGTATGTGATTATGTTGTTCGTTTCTCAATTATGTCTCGTGCATGGTTCTCTTTTTACTTATGTTTCTGAAACTATGTGAGATATTTTTTTTCTTCTAATATTTGCTTATCGGTTATCATTGTGCGCTATTGTTCCATGTATATCGTTATAGGCTAGTTGTGTGCTATTATTGTGTGATTCCATCGTTTCCCATTTTTTGCTCTTCCCTCCTTTTTGGTTTTCTCAAAGGGGGAGAAGGATTTCAACTTGAAATATGAACTCGATTGATGCAATAAGTGTTTAATGCAGAGGGAGCATAGCTCAATGAGTACCTCAAATTACTTAGTTATACCAAGTATCAAAAATGGGGAGCCTGAAATTTCCCTCATATGTATTATCAGTTATTTTGTTGTTTTGATGCTTTGTGTATTGTGGCTTATCATAATTTTGAGTTTATTCATTGAATTATCACACACATGAAATAATGATTTTCCATAGATTTTTGAAGTGTTGGCTAAATTCAACTGACTTGATTCAAGTGTTGTGTGACTTGATTTAACAAGCCAAGGTAATTTGAATTGATTAAAGATTTCTTGTGAATCGATTCATTCAAGTTTTGCATGTTTGACTCAACTCAATTATAGTGTTAATCGATTCACAAAGATGTCTCAAAATGTGTTTATGATTTTGTTTGCAAGACTCGATTCATACTAATGACTTGATTTATTCTGTTAATAACTTGATTCATTTTGTCAATGACTTAATTCATTATGTCAATGACTTGATTCATTCTGTCAATGATTTGATTCATTCTGACAGAATACTTGATTAAAAATAGTGCCTCTAAAGACGTTTTTGACTATATTTGCAAGACTAAGTCATGGCTAAGAATACTCGAGTCAGAGGCATAAATGACTCAAGTCACGACCTTACTGAATTGATTTAAATGTCCAAATACTCGGTTCCTTTTGGCTTCATCTCAAGTCATTTTTTTAACTTCCTTCAATTTTGAATTGATTCTTTACAACCTTGAATAGATTTATTTAGTGCATTTTTATTCATTTTTGTGCCTCAACTCACGCACATATATTTTTTTTATTTCATTTCATTAATAACTTAATGAGAAAATTCTTAATCTAAATTACGAGAGAACGAATTTCTCAGTGAGAAAAAAGTTTTAGAAAATACATTTTCAACTCATTTAAATCACCACCTTCATTATGCTCATAGAGAATCATTGTAATAATTATATGCGTGGTGATTGATTATGAGGAACTATTATATGTTTAATCTTTCATTTGAGGAGATATTCAAAGGAGCGAAGTTCTTTGAAGGAACTAGGAGAAAGATCTCTTCATTGTTGTGGAGTTTTTTTTTTATTTTTAGATTTGTCAACCCGTTGAAGAGAAGAACTTAAGGCTTATAATTTTGAGATTGAGTGAATATCGACGAACTTATCAAGATTAAAGTCCATCAAGGGTTGAAGATCAAGATCTTGGTGAAGATCAAAGATAATAGTAGTGGTAGCTAGTTGCAGACAAGTTCAACCAATAAACAAAGATGAATTTAAACTATATTGTCATACTTTATATTTTATTTCACTAAATTGTTGTAACACGAACTAGAATCAAATTAACATAGTGGAAGATACAAAATTCTGATGATTCACCATCAGAGACTAGAGTAGGTGTCAGTTACTCCCAGCATTACATTACAACTTCTCAAAGAGACACTTAATGCACATATTCCCGAGAAACGAAAACGTTTAATATATGACTTCCACGTCCACGGATCTCGTGGCCGAGTAATAGTGCGTTCACAAATCTTCACCCTGCAAATCAAAGACAAAGGCTTATAGGCAATTGTTTCGGGCCTTCGGCAAGACCCAAGAGACGAAGACTCAATTACGAAGCAACAAGTTATATACGCAAGACATGAAGACTCTTTTTCCTCCATGTCACAAAATATCTCTCACGAGAATGTCATGCTAATCGCCCTGATCAATCCAACGACTAACTGTATCCTACGTCGTTCCACACACATGCAATTATCAACCATCTCCCTTATTTAAAGAGGAAAACCTCCACTTCGCACATACTCAAATCTTTTTTTATTCAAACTCCAATTTTTACTTTCTTACTGACTTTAGCATTTGAATGTTAACCTTGCAGGTCAACATCTTTTCCACCGCATCGAAACCATAATCTACCGCAACAAATTGTAAATTCACCCTTTTTTTTTCGATCAACTCTAGTTTTCGTGTGAAACACAATGTTAAAACGTTATTTAAAAAAAAAAAAACTAAAATTACATTTAAGTTAAAAAAAGAAGAAGAAATATCATGACAATTTAAGGGAAACAATTGTTTACACAATGAAACTCGGCTTTAGAAGAAGAATCCACTCATAAATTAATTTTAATAGAGTTATTTTAAGCAAATAAAAAGAATCAATTGTGGTGGTACCCTTTTGGCGTAATAAAATCAATTCTCATACCCATCTCTCTTCCCATTCCGCGTTGCTGCAAAGCATTCTTCACCTCTCTCTCTCTCTCTGCGGTTTCTGCTACATCAACTTTTCTTCTTCAAAGGTAAATTCAAATTCTCAGATCCAATCTCTTCATGCAAATCGATTCATCGCACTTCAATTCCACGCGATATAACTGAGTTTCCCGTTTCTATTTGCTCGATCTGACATTTCCCAATCAAAGTTTTCAGATCTTCTGGTTTTTTTTCGTTCCATCATTTTCCTCTTTATCGAAAATTTGTTTATTATTTTGTAGCAACTTTTTTCTGTGCGATCCGTTTCTCTTGTCATGATTAACGGTTCCAATAGAATTGGATGCTACTGTTATTTGTTTAAGCTTGAGATCTGATAGAATCTGGTGACATTGATTCCATTTGCTTTAATTGATTTGTGAGAAGAAATTGTGACGATTTAAATGAGATCTTTTTTTATTTTGTTTTGTAAATTTGTGATTTTTCTTATTGAAATTTTGATTGAACAATGAAATTAGGAGGATCAATCAAGTAAGGGAAGGAAACATGGGGTTAACATTCACGAAGCTGTTCAGTCGGTTATTTGCAAAGAAGGAAATGAGAATTTTGATGGTGGGTCTCGATGCTGCTGGTAAGACCACTATCCTCTACAAGCTCAAGCTTGGAGAGATTGTCACCACCATCCCTACCATTGGTAAGTTTCTCGGCTCTGCTTGTGTTCATATATCTAAATGCACAAATCAGATTTGTTCTTTGCCTCTAGGAGAGTTGATTTGCATGTAGAATGTGTTTACTTTTGGTTTTCTCCCTGGTATCTTTATGTTTTGATCAATTGATCAGTACTGTGAAGCTTCTGGAAAGTTGAGATGCTGAAGTTGTTTTAAATGTAATGTGAAGCTTCAAAAGATTATTTCGGCATTTGAGTGCTTGGTAAAGGTTAATCAGATTGCTAAAATGCTGTGATGCTATATTCATTAAAATGTATATTTATTTTTATTTAGGGTTCAATGTTGAGACTGTGGAATACAAGAACATTAGCTTCACCGTTTGGGATGTCGGAGGCCAGGACAAGGTGTATATTTCTTTTCTTATTCCTTCTGAAAAAAAGTGCACTTTACAAGATATTTAGTAGCAAGTGGCTAAATACTTATGCTTTCTTCTACAGATTCGTCCCTTGTGGAGGCACTACTTCCAGAACACTCAGGGTCTTATTTTTGTCGTTGACAGCAATGACAGGGACAGAGTTGCTGAGGCCAGAGATGAGCTACATAGAATGTTGAATGAGGTACTTTGTTTAGTTTGGCGTGTTATGTAATGTTATGTTTTCATCTTCATATTTTTTTCATGTTAGATGTCTTCATGCATATAGACCACGTAGTGGCCAAAAGGACGGAAGGAACCCACATATTAGTTGTGATAGAAAGATCTAAGGATCATATAATGTAGATGATTCTGGTGTTGCTTTAAGCACAATATATTTTCTGCATCTGTTACGGCTGACTTTGCTAGAGATACATTAGTCTAGATCATAATGTTCATATCCTCATTGATTGTCTTTCAATTCATGAAAACAGTTTTCTTTTGAACTTCTCATGAAACACCCTTCTCTTTATCATTGTCGCTGTTAATTCATGTGTTTTCGCTGGATCTTAATTTCTAATGATCATTTTATATTGTTGTGACTGAGATGCCTTTTGGAAGTTGAATGACCAATTCTTCCTAATCAATATCTTGTAACTAAATGGAAGAATTGGTAATTCTTATAAAACGTTCATTCATGACAAGAATCATTAGTCTCCTTGAGTCCCTGTTCCTTGCTCTTTCTTGTTTATGCTGTCTTGTAACTAAATGGCAATATTTTGAATTCTTTATTTCAATAATTGTTTCAGGATGAACTGAGAGATGCAGTATTGCTTGTGTTTGCCAACAAACAAGATCTTCCCAATGCAATGAATGCTGCTGAGATTACTGACAAGCTGGGTCTCCACTCTCTCAGACAGCGCCACTGGTAAATATTTTTGATAATGAAGCACTTCATATTCTGTACTAATAGCTATCCTGTTGTGATCTAACCCACTCTTCTGGGTCTTCCAGGTACATTCAGAGCACTTGTGCAACCTCTGGGGAGGGTCTTTACGAAGGTTTGGACTGGCTCTCCAACAATATAGCCAATAAGGTAGCTATTAGTTTCTTCCTTTATCGTGCAAATTTTATTTATTTAAGACGTAAATATGTTTTTGGAATTATTGGAACTGGTAAGGTTTCTTATTTTCTTCCTGATTTTCTTGTCATTGCAGGCATAATGATATTTTGGGAGTCTTTTGGATTGGTCATTCTGGATGCAGGGGTGAATATTATCTAGCTTTTATTTCCGAGTCCTCTTCCAAAACAACTTGAATTTGTGTTCATGTATTATGATTTAGGACATATTGGTGGCTACAGTTGTAGTAGGAATTTGTTTCATGGGATGTTTAATACTTTTGAGCTTTCTAATGGGTTTGGATGCAAAGCCTTCAACTGTAATGGAGATACTAATTCTATGCGCCATCAGGTTCTGATTTATACCTTTGTTTTGGTCATTTATACCTTTTCATATTTAGTATTGGATGGAGATTTTCATTTTTGTAAGATACTACCAAAGAAAGTACAATATTCATAATTTTTTAGACGCCCATAATTCAGATGCTCAATGCGAATTGTATGGTTGATTGTTTTTATTGGACAGATATCTGTCCGGGGCAATATTTGGTGATTGTTATACGTTATTTTGAATAAATTTGGTTTTGTAAAATTTAATTGGTTTATTGAGTTTCATTTGACGATTAGTATTTGATTTATTTGCTTATAAACATACTTCAAATTTTATTGTAAATAGTAAAACTGATTTTTTCAACTAAAAAAAATAAAATCAAATTTGGGAGATATAAATTTTACATAAAATTAAATATTATTATTTTATAATCTCCAGACTAGTACTTTTATCCGGTGCGATGTACTAAATAAATTATAGGTAAATATTGTAGTGTGAAATTTATTTTTTTTTGAATTTTTGTAGAATGAATAGTTGAAATACATTGAAATGAATGGTGTAGTAATGAGTTGGAACAATTAATATTAAATATTAATTAATTAATTAAATAATATGTAATTAAAAATATTTAGACGGAATTTTGTTCAAAGTTTGGTTAATTGTGTATTATGCTTTAATATATTAAGGATACTTTTAGTAGATTGACAAAACCGTAACAATGAAGAGAGTCCATGTCAACTATCTAATTTAGTTTTTAAAATCCATCTCATTAGAATTTAAAAAATGGCAGTTTCTAAAGGCTTTATTTACATCACATATTTAAATTGGAAGCGACTCTATCAGAAACCAAGGACTAACTACCTTTTTGAAATATAAATTTCGCTATCCATAAGAAAGACAAGAGTTAATTGCTATGCACTAAAATTTTTTGCACCATAATCATTCGAATATATTGGTTTAAGGAAAATTAAAATAAAAGTAAATTATTTTAAACAAATTATTGGTTGTGATTTTTTGAGCGGTTTAAAATATCTTTGCACCATTGGTGCATTTTAATTAAATTTAAAAGACAATTACAAAGTTTAATTTTGAGAAAAAAAGGACATGCTTACAATGTGAACCAATCATTATATGTTCTCTTTCAAATGACATTGTTGTGTGACATAGTTAAATGATGACCTTGTCAACCAATCACCATCATACGTTCTCTTTTAAATCACATAGTTGTATGACATAGCTAAATGATGAGTCGGTAGGAAATTTATTGAAACATATCAATCTTGATGAACAAGATTGTTATCACTACACAATGACAACAAAAAATTGAGGAAGAAAGAAAATTAGGATTTTATACAATAAGAAGATGATGATTTTCTGCAGATTTCTCCTTGGCCACAAATTGTGAAAAAAATTTATTCACTTGCAACGGTAAATTATGTGAATACAAGTTGTGTTGGTTACAAAAAATAGGAGTTTCTCCTACTATTTATAATTGAGCTTGCTTGTTCCCTAAGTCAAATCTCAAAACTATAAAAGCGCAAAATAATTATTTTAGACCTAAGTTAAAATCCGGTGGGAAGCAATCTGCTTCGACACTTCGACACATACAATTTGACTACAACTTCGACACACGCATTAGGTTTATTTCGACACACCTTGTGTCGAACAACATGCTGCTTTCGACACAAGGAATTACATTCTTAACACACCATCTAATTCATTGTGTCTAAGTTAACTACATTCATCATAGCTCTTAGTCTTCTAAATACTTTAACCTGCACTTCCTTCATCATGATGTCTGCAATGTGATTCTCAGTTTTGCAGCAGTGTTTCAAGTTCATCTTCCCTTCTGCTATCTGCTCACGAAGATAATTGAACCTCATTTTGATGTGCTTGCTTAAATCATATGCTAACGGGTTCTTTGCCATATTGATAGCTGACATGATGTCGATCTTCATGGTAATTGCTCTATGATCTTTCCCTGTAATCTCTTCGATCAAGTTCACCATTCATGTTGTTTAACATGCACAAAGAGAATCAACTATGTACTTTGCTTCACATGATGACAATGTCACTACTGGTTCTTTTCTCAAACTCAAAGAAACTGGTGCACCACCTAACACATAACCATCTGTGGATTTTCAATCCTCATCATCACTGTTGTACCCCAAAATTTGCCCTCTCATTTCTCAAGATATTTCCTACAAAGATCGTCAATGATTCTAGCTTGCACAAGTATTGACTAGGTCAAGCCATCTCCTCAATACTGATGTCTCAGACTAGGGTTTAAGTTTGCACAAAGACAATTGAACTTCTAATATTTCAAACGACTTCCATGGATCATTATGGCCCCCAAGACTGTTCCTGTCAGGTTTCAAGTCTTGGATCACAAAATCGCTCAGTCAATTGACCAGATGGCCTAAAATCAGCTGTATTGAAAAAAAAAGTCAATTGTACACTGAAAAGTTAAACTTTGACTTTTTGACCAAATTTGGGTTTCAAAGATCACATTTCATCAAGGCATTCAAAAAGTGAAATTTGATCATCAAAAATCAAGAAAGTTAAGAGTCATTTTGAAAAGTCAAACTTTGCAAGACTTATAAATTTTTCTAAGTATTTGTATACTTGTTAATTTCATTGCTTCATGACATATTTTCACTACAATTCAAATAATTCAAGATGTTACAAACAATTCAAGATAATTCAAATGTTCAAGTGAACAACAAGGGTGCATTTTTAAAAGTTAAAAATCACAAGTTACAAATTCTAAGCTTTGTCTTGTTTGAATTTTTCCATTTTGACTCAATCTTCAAACCTTGCTTCTATGTTATCCACAAAAATTAAACTTGTATCATGCTACAAACAATGCTGTCCAATTTACTGTTGTACAAAGCCCAAAGTTTGCACCAACGAGTCCAAGCATATCAGTCTAAAACCTGTTGTTCCTACACAAAACAGTCTATGCAAAACCAGTCCTGCTATGTTGCCTCTAAACACTGTCACAACCTGCTCCCAAAACCTGCTATGCTGTCTAAACCTGCATTATATCAGTCCTCATATTTACACCAAATTAGCATATAAGAGATGCATATCAAAAGCTATGAAACAGCATACCCAAAAAGTTCAAAAAAACTTATTTGTTTCCCCCCTAAATCTCAGCCAAAACATCTACAAATAAATTGTTTTCACAACACAAAGGGTGGGATTTTAGAGAGAGAATAGAAAGTTTTGAAAAAATATAACATAACTTTTCTTGTAACTTCAGCTCACCTTCAGCTCTATCTTCATTCACAAAAATAAAACCTTAATCCATTATTCCACCTTGCAAGCTCTCCCATAAACCAGCCATTCAAACGCTTCATATCATATAGAGATTGTTCAAACACAAGAACCGTTTCTATAGTGCCATCATCAACACCTTTCAAACACAAACAAAAGACAGTATTGTACAACTTGACTGGATTGGAGTTGGTTCAGCAACCTTCAATACAAATGGAGGTTCAGCAACTTTTTGGAGGTTCATTGAAGTCCACACAACATCTTGAAAGGTATTCAGACTCAAGACACAAATTACAGTCTCAAGGTAAGTCTTCTTGACCTTAAACCCTTCATTTCAAGCATCATTAGTGATTCATTTTTAAAGATAAAATGTAATAACCATTGCCCTTGAAGCTAACCATTTGTTTGTCTTTCATTTTTGTCAATTATATGTTGAGAACTGACTTGTACAGACAATAGAATGATGTTAGAACTAAAAAAAACTACAGCATAAGTTGACACATACCCATATGAGTCGACTCATTTTAGTGACATAATAGAGTATGAGTCGACACAAGGCCTTATGTGTCGATACATACTGCTATCCAGACCCAAAACAGAAAGGCAAAAGGTGCATGAGTCGACACAAAATACGAATGTGTCGACACAAGCAAGAAATGAGTCGACACATACCATTATACATCGTCTCATACTGAGTTGATTTTGATTTAACAAGAACGAGAAGGGTTATATGTCGATGCATAGACGCATGTGTTGACACATAATGGTTAAAAAATATTTTTTCCTTTCTTTTTACATTGTTTTATATCTTTTCATTGCTATTCAATATGGTTGTAATATTTAGGCTACTACTTCATCCCATTTGTAAATTGTACCTCCATCCCCCTAATGATGTAATAACATAGAATTTTAATTTCCGCAAATTTATCGTTTTAATATAATTGTTAGTAATTAGGGCGTGTATGGAAAGATAAAACTAATCGTTAGAAAACCCTAATCTCAAAGACAAAAAAATGCATGTAATCGAAACACAACTCACACAAGCACCTCTAGGGTAACCTCGCTTGTTGCCTCAGAAAATAGTAATGTCCCTCGAATATGGGACGCTTTAGCAAAGACCCTCTATAGAAAAGATCGTAGTCCCTCGATGACTCTTCAACGTTGCCTTCGGTAAAACGATCTTAGTCCCTACGAAAATTGCTAAAGCGTCTCATAAGTTGTCTTCTATGACTATATGATTGACCCGCGCACGTCCCTTCACATCCAATGATAGGGTTTCTTATCAATCAATGGTAAGATAATACTATTTAAAGGAGGAGGAAAAGAACAAAGACCTTTTAAGTAGGTAGGACGCTCATAGTTGCTTGCTCACAAACTAAAACCATCTCCACACCCACACTTTCAAAACATCTTCAAAAACAAACATCTCTTTGAACTATTTTTCAAAACCAACACTTTGTATACATTCTTATAGAGACGAGAATCATTACAAAGTTTACCGAAACAAAGACGTTTTCAAAATATTTTCAAAATTGCACAAACACATCTCAAACAAAGCATTTTCAAAGTGATCAAGCAACTAAGAGCCCGTAGATAACTACGGATGAAAATGGTGCTAACACCTTCCCTTTTCATAACCTACCCCCAAACTCAAGAAAATATCTCAAAAGGCCTTTCTTGTTATTTTCACCATTTCCTTTATTGGATAAAAGAAAAGTCGGTGGCGACTCTTGCTATCCGCAACAATTGAGATAAAATGCAAAACACCCAAGTCAGTTCTCCCACCGCATTACAATCACCAACTTGAGTCGGTGTATCCCACTAATTTGAATTATTTTCCTTTATCATTT